TCGGTGTCCCCAGAGCCCGTCCTGCCTCTGTCCCTGGGCTCTCGGTGTCCCCAGAGCCTGTCCTGCCTCTGTCCCTGGGCTCTCGGTGTCCCCAGGGCTCCAGAGCCCTCTTGGTGTCCCCGGGGCTCCCAAGCCCATCCTGCCTCACTGGTGGCAGCCGGTGGCACCTCAGGCACCGTGGTCACTGCGCCAGGGACGAGAGCTGAGCCCAGCAGGGATCAACTCCTCTCTTCCCAAACACCTCCAGCCTGCTCTGCCCTCCCAGTCCAGCCAAAATTCAGTGTCTGGGCTGGAAAGGGATAAACCAGAGCCAGCTCTGGCCTGGGGAGCAGCAGGCCCTGCAGGAATGATGATGAGGGGGAGGAAGGAGGATGAAAAACCCGAGCTCAGAGCAGCACGGAGCCTGGAGAGGAGAGCTCACACTCAGCAAAGTAATTAAAAGTTCTAAGCCAGGCAGGCAGAGGAGGGTCCTGGCCCCTTTCCTTGCGAGATCAAAGCTTGTTTTGGCAGAGGAGCAGTTTAAGTATATTTATAAAAAGGGCTGCCTGTGTCTGCCTTCGTTCTCTTTGATATGGCAGCAGCCTCGTTCTTTCTGTGTCAGGGCTCCCCAGAATTCACGGAATTCACGTGGAATGAATCCTGGCCACCCACAGCTTCTCACGGAGCTCCCAGCAGGGTCCTGCCAGCCCCGAGGGCAGCTCCAGCCCTCTGGGATTGGGAATCTCCCGGTGGCAGGGCAGGGTGGGCTGGGCTGGCACATCCCAGGGCGGCCCAACCCCTCTCCCCCACCTCTGCGAGCCTTCTGTGAATTTTTACCTCCTTTTTCCATCCTTTTGGATCCACTGGAGTGTCCAGGTTGTGGATTTACCTCTGCTTTTACATCTAACATGACAAAGAGGTTGTCTCTGATCCACTTGGTGCAGTCAGAGCTGCTGCTTTGCAGGTTGCACTTTTTACCCAGCTTTAGGTTTGTTTCACCCGTGGGAACCAGCATAAATTCACCCCAAAATATCATTTCCAGTGGGTTAGTCAGGCTCCATTCAGTCAGACCTTAAATGACCTTTGGTTTCCTTGATTATAATTTGCTTGGAAAACAAGGAAGTTAAAAAGATTCGGTCCAGTTGAATTAATCCACATTATTTTCATACCTGTGGTTAGCTCAGTGACGTTTCCTGATTGTTGCTGTAAACACAGATGGAGGGAAAGGGACAGGGGACAGAGGAGGGGTTTTACCCGTGTGCCCAAAAGCCCTGGCACCACTTCAGCCGCTCTCCAGCCCCCTGGCACGGGCTGAACCCACCCTCAGGTGCGGGCTGGGCACCCAGGAGCCCGCAGTTCTCCCCTCCCCGCTCACCCGCTGCCCGTGGCACAAACCCACGGAGCCTTGCCAGGTCACTTGCCTGCCACCTCTCATCCATCAGCCGAGCAAACTGCAGCCAGGTCCCAGCCCTGCGCAGCACCGCGTGAAAATCCAGCCCTGCCTCCATCCCTCCCTGCCCGCTCCTCAGCCATGAGATCATCCCCGGAGCCGGGATTGTCGCCTGAGCCCCGGGGACAGGGCAGGGACAGGGCAGGGACAGGGGACAGGGACAGGGACAGGGACCGGGACAGGGCAGGGACAGGACAGGGACAGCGCAGGGACAGGGACAGGGCAGGGACAGGGCAGGGACAGGGATAGGGACAGGGACAGGGACAGGGACAGGGCAGGGACAGCGCAGGGACAGGGACAGGGACAGGGACAGGGACAGGGACAGGGCAGGGACAGGGCAGGGACAGGGATAGGGACAGCGCAGGGACAGGGACAGGGACAGGGCAGGGACAGCGCAGGGACAGGGACAGGGCAGGGACAGGGACAGGGCAGGGACAGTGCAGGGCTCAGCCTGGGGCACTCTGGGGGAGTCTCGCTGCTCCCCCTCGCTCTGGGGAGCGTCTGCAGGGAGGGCACCGGGGATTTTTGGGGTTTTGGGGGATTTTGGAGCGTGGCTGCAAAGCTGAGAGAAGAGAGGGAGCAGGGGGGTCAGACCGCCTGGTCCGTCCTGCTGGACCTTTTCTCCACCCCAGCGCGTCCAGTGCATCATCCTGGCTCCCAGCACGCCCAGTTTGCTGCTGCCTCCTCCTGGAGCAGCCCCAGGAATCATTATCCATGGATTCCCCAAGGGAATCCTCCTTGGGAGCAGCCCCTGGAATCATCATCCATGGATTCCGCAGGGGAATCCTCCTCCTGGAGCAGCCCTGGAATCTTCATCTATGGATTCCCCAGGGGAATCCTCCTCCTCCCTCCTGGGAACAGCCTCTGGAATCATCCATGGATTCCCCAGGGGAATCCTCCTTGGGAGCAGCCCCTGGCTGTGTTTCAGGCTGTTTCAGGCCATGTTTCAGGCTGTTTTACCTAAAACATTTTGGGAAGATATCTGCAGGAAGGCGAATCCTCATCCCTGCCAAACCCCGTGGTGCTGCTGCAGGGGGCAGAGCACTGGGGTGGCATTTGGGATTTCTGTCACGAGCACTGGGGTGGCATTTGGGATTTCTGTCACTGGCCCTGGTGGCAGGCAGGCTGTGCTCTGGGAACACTGAGGGTGGCAATGCCCCAGGAATCCGGAGAAAAGCTATGTCAGGGAAGGTTTAGGGTGGATATTAGGAAAAAATTTTTCACTGGAAGAATAATAAAATACTGGAATTGTCTTCCCAGGGAGGCGGTGGAATCACCATCTCTGGATGTGTTTAACAAAAGACTGGACATGGCACTTGGTGCTATGGTCTGGTTGTGGTGTTGGGGCATAGGTTGGACTTGGTGATCTTAGAGGTCTCTTCAACCTCATTATTCTGGGATTCTGTGATTTCCGTGATTTCTGTGATTTCTGTGATTTCTGTGATTTCTGCGATTTCTGTGATTTCTGTGATTTCTGCGATTTCTGTGATTTCTGTGATTCCTGTGATTTCTGTGGAAACAGAATTCCCTGTGCACAGAGAGAAGGAAAAAGAGATTCCCGTGTTCCCCAGAGCATCACCCCTTGTCGCTCCTGCCACCACTGCGGCAGCTCACTCTGCTCTCTTTTGTCCCCAGACCTGGCTCAGGGACACCTGCAGCTGGCACAGCTGGGCAGGGAGGTGGCAGCTGACGGCAGCCCCGTGTCCCCGCCGGAGGGGCAGGGCCGGTCGCCGGTGGCCGCCGTGCGCTACCGCAACCACGGCCAGCGCCGCTTCTCCATGGAGGCAAGTGCTGGGGACAGGGTGGGGACCTGGGGGCACCTCTGGGTGTCACCTCCTCGCTGGCTGGGTGCGGTCTGGGAGGTGGCAGTGTCACACACGAGCCCTCTGCTGAGAGTCCCCGCCTGGCTCTGGGGTCCCGTGTGGTGGTGAAATTTCTCCTCCAACTGAGCCCTGAGCTTCCAAAGAAAAACTCCGCAGGCTCTTGTTGTTTGGTCTCAAGGCAGTTTATTGTGAGTTTTCTAAAAGATTTTCTTCTCGGGCTGCTGTGGTTTGCTCACAGCTCAGGCAGAGGCACACACACACCCTGACATCCTCTCTGACCCCGACTGCTTCTTCTCTCCCCGCCAGGGCTGCTGCTGTCTTTTATATGGTACATTACGTGTGACATGGTTACAGTTTTACCCCAATGCCTATTACCTATATTAAATGGTGATTTTCTATCTTTTATATGTACATTACGTGTTACATGGTTACAGTTTTCCCCAATGCCTATTACCTATATTAAATGGTGATTTTCTATCTTTTATATGATATATTACGTATTACATGTTTATAGTTTTCCCCCAATACCTACTACCTATATTAAATGGTACTTTTCTACTCTAAACCAATCTGTGAGTGCCAACATCACCAAGAACATTGAAGCAAGGAAGAAGAAGGAGGAAGAAGAGGATCAGCCCACTTTCCTCCATCTTAGAACTTCTGACCCCCATGTACAAAGTAAAAACCCCCCTGTACAGGTGTTAAAACCCCCGTGTACAATACTAAAGAATTTTCCCCTCTGTTTTATAACTACTTTTACTATAATATCCAACCCTTTGTGACTGCTTGTTCCACCTCCAAAGTTGGTAACTCATTCCATGGCTCAAACTCAAAATCACAGCTGCCTGCCAGGGTCTAAAATGCTCCTGACCAAGGCCTGGAACCTCTAAAAATGTCTGAGAGACATTTTGAGTTCCAACATGCCACCACCCAAATTCCCTTGAGCAGCATCACTGCCAGCTCCGTGACAGAGATTTTCCCCCTGGAAGTCCTGCTGTCACCTCCCTGTCGTCTGTCCCCTCCCTGCAGGACGTCAGCAAGCGCCTCTCGCTGCCCATGGACATCCGGCTGCCCCCCGAGTTCCTGCAGAAGCTGCAGATGGAGAGCCTGGAGCTCCCCAAGCCCCTGAGCAGGATGTCCCGGCGGGCCTCCCTCGTGAGTGGCACCGACAGAGGGGACAGTGCCGGGCACGGTGCCCCCCGTGTGTCCCTGACCTGCTGTGCCAGCTCCCCTGGCTGGCACTGAGGTCCCCTCATGGCCCTGCCCATTCCCAGCCCTTCCTGCACAGCCCCAGCAGCACCGGGAGGAGCTGAGGGACCTGGGGAGGGTTTGGAGAATCCTGAGGAGCTGGGAAGGGTTTGGAGAGTCCTGAGGGAGCTGGGAAGGGGCTCAGCCTGGAGCAAAGGAGGCTCAGGGGGAATTTCTGGCTCTGCACAACTCCTGACAGGAGGGGACAGCCGGGGGGATTTGGGATCTCATCCCAGGGAACAGGGACAGGAGGAGAGGGAACGGCCTCAGGCTGTGCTGGGGAGGCTCAGGTTGGACACCAGCAGGAATTTCCTCATGGGAAGGGTTGGAAGGGGCTGCCAGGGGGTTTGGAGTGCCCATCCCTGGAGGTGGCACTGAGTGCTCAGGGTGGGGATTGGGCACAGCCTGGACTCGATGATCCCACAGGGATTTTCCAGCCCCAATAATTCCACGATTCTGGGCTCTGCATCCCTTTCCCAGCTGCACCTGCTGGGCCATTCCCACCTTCCTTCACCCCCCTGGGCACACCTGGCTGCCCTCCCAGCCTGGCTCCTTCCCAAAGCAGGAGAGGAAAACCCTCCTGCAGCTCAGCCGGAGCCTCTTGCCAGTGGAAATGCAAATGAGGATAAATAATGAATCAGCCTTTGCTCCAGTGGTGGCATTTCCGTTTCTCTGCTGCAGCAGCAGAAATGGGAGCAAAAACTCTGTGTACAACCAAACAGCCAAAAATCTCCGTGTGCAGACACCAGAGGTGCCCAGGTGCCACAGCCAGGCCTCAGGAGCATTTTGGGGCACGAGGTGCCCATTCAGGAGGAGGGAAGGGGGACGGAGAGCTGGAATTTACCTGCTGGTGCTGTCTGATCAATAAAACAAACTCAGGATGATATGTCATTAATATTCATGAGCCCCTCATAAATAAGGAATGTGGCTCTGGGGGTTGTGCAGCAACCTTCACTCCCCTGCTCGGGACAGGGCTTTTCCCAGGATCCACAGAGGGTTTGGGCAGTCAGTGGAGTAAAAATCCCAGTTGTCACTGCCCAGCGTCCCTGGAAAGGTTGTGGAGGTGAAGCCACCCCCGGATGAGGTTCCCTCCTCCCCAGTGATGCTTTCCTTTCTCTCTCACAGTCAGATATCGGCTTTGGGAAGCTGGAAACCTACATTAAACTGGACAAACTGGGAGAGGTGAGTAGTCTGTCAGACCCCTGTAAGGAATCCAATGCAATTCAAAGGGCAGCTCGAAGCACAAGGGGCAAAAATCCTCAATATCCAAGAAGGAGCAATTCTTTCTTGTGGAGCTCAGAGCTGTCACCTCAAAGGGTCCTTCCTCCAGATGTTTTGGGGACACTGGTGCTGTGCCACCCTGGGAAATGTCCCCTGTCCCCTGCCAGGGCACCTACGCCACGGTGTTCAAGGGCCGCAGCAAACTGACAGAAAACCTGGTGGCGCTGAAGGAAATCCGCCTGGAGCACGAGGAGGGGGCTCCCTGCACGGCCATCCGGGAAGGTGAGGCCGGGAGGGAGGATTTGGGATGGCTGTGGCCGCGCTCAGCCCCGGCTCCTGCCGCCCCAACCCCGCTGTCCCCGCAGTGTCGCTGCTGAAGAACCTCAAGCACGCCAACATCGTCACCCTGCACGACATCATCCACACCGAGCGCTGCCTCACCCTCGTCTTCGAGTACCTGGTGGGTCTGGGGGCTTCTCTGGGGCCTGGGGGGGACGAGGAAGGACAGACTGACGCGTCCTTCCCGCCGCAGGACAACGACCTCAAGCAGTACCTGGAGAACTGCGGGAACCTGATGAGTGTGCACAACGTGAAGGTGAGTGTCGCTGTCGAGGCAGGACGGGAGTGAAGAGACTGATCAGAAGGCTGTGAGAGTAAAACTCCGATTTATTCAAAATACCCCGCTCTTTATACAGAGGGCCAACTCCATTGATCCAATGGAAAAAACTGAGAGTAAAACTCTGATTTATTCAAAATACACCACTCTTTATACAGAGGGCCAACTCCATTGATCCAATGGAAAAAAACTGAGAGTAAAACTCCGATTTATTCAAAATACAATGTTCTTTATACAGAGCTCTGTGAGGGCCAACTCCATTGGTTCAATGGAAAAAAACTGAGAGTAAAACTCCGATTTATTCAAAATACACTGCTGTTTTATACAGAGCTCCGTGAGGACCAATGGAAAAAAAACTGAGAGTAAAACTCCAGTTTATTCAAAATACACTGCTCTTTATACAGAGCCTTGTGAGGACCAACTCCATTGGACCAAAGGAAAAAAACCTGAGTAAAACTCTGATTTATTCAAAATACACCGTTCTTTATACAGAGCTTCGTGAGGGCCAACGCAAAAAAAACTGAGAGTAAAACTCCGATTTATTCAAAATACACCGCTCTTTATACAGAGGGTCAACTCCATTGGTCCAATGGAAAAAAACTGAGAGTAAAACTCTGATTTATTCAAAATACAATGCTCTTTATACAGAGCTTTGTGAGGACCGAATTCATGAGTCCAATGGAAAGAAAAACTGAGAGTAAAACTCTGATTTATTCAAAATGCACTGCTCTTTATACAGAGCTCCATGAGGACCAACTCCATTGGTCCAATGGGAAAAAACTGAGAGTAAAACTTTGGTTTATTCAAAATACACTGCTCTTTATGCAGAGCCGTGTGAGGACCAAATTCATTGATCCTGAAGTGAAAACAACTCATTCCATTGGTGTACAGTGCTTGACGCACAGTGATAGAACTTAACTATAAACAATGTGAACAACAAGAGAGATAAAGAATTATTTACATTCCTCTCCAGCTCTTTCCCAGGCTTCTGCCTGGCTGAAACTCTCAGTTTCTTTCTTTGGCTGAATCTGAGTCCCACAGATGAGGCCGTACCTGGGACCCCCATGCTGTCCCCCACCCTGGTGGGGCTGTTTTGGGGCTGGGGGAGGCTGGAGATCCCTTCACCGTCAGTTCTTGCTCCCTTTCTGAGGCTCCCCCAGCGTTCCTCGGGTCGCCACCACCCTAAATAAAATCACTCCATGTGCACACTTGGCTCATCCCATGCTGTGGCACTTCCCCACAGCGTTTCCCACCCCAGCCCAGCTCTGAGGGGTTTTTTCTGCCCACAACATCCAGATTCCTCAAGGCAGGTTGATTTTTAGTCCTAAATGCACCCCCTCCTCCTCCTCCTCCTCCCCGCAGATCTTCATGTTCCAGCTGCTCCGTGGCCTGGCTTATTGCCACGGCAGGAAAATCCTGCACCGAGACCTCAAACCCCAGAACCTGCTCATCAACGAGCGAGGGGAGCTCAAGCTGGCGGATTTTGGTAAGTGAAGCCCCCCGGGGACGGCGCAGGATCAGGAAAAAGGGGCAACTCCCTGATGCGCGCCCCTCCTGCCCTCAGGATTAGCCAGGGCCAAGTCGGTCCCCACAAAAACCTATTCCAACGAGGTGGTGACGCTCTGGTACCGGCCCCCCGACGTCCTGCTGGGATCCACTGAGTATTCCACGCCCATCGACATGTGGTGAGGCCCCGAGCGGCCCGGGAGCTTCCCGGGAGCTGCCCGGGCTCTCCAGGATGGAGCCCAGCGTTTCCATCCTCATCCTCACCGTGTTGGGTACAACAGAGGCTGGTGGGCTCTCCCAGGGCTGCTTTCCCCATCCCCAGAGCTCTCCCAGTGCAGATTTCCCTGTTCCTTGGGGCTTTCCCAGAGCAGATTTCCTTGTCCCCAGTGCTCTTCCAGAGCAGAATTCCCTCATCCCAGAGTTCTCCCAAGACAGTCTTCCCTGTCCCCTGGGTCTGTTGATGCCAGAGTTTTGGGGACTTTTCCAAATCTGTTCTCCCTGTCCCCAGAGCTCTCCCAGTGATTTCCCTATGCCCAGAGCTCTCTCAGACCTGTTTTCCATGTCCCCAGTCTCTCCCAGTGCAGATTTCCCTGTCCCCAGAGCTCTCCCAGAGCAGAATTCCCTCATCCCAGAGCTCTCCCAGTGCAGTTTTCCCTGTCCCAGGGGCTATCCCAGTGCACATTTCCCTGTCCCCATGTCCCCAGAGCTCTCCCAGAGCAGTTTTCCCCGTCCCCTTGCACTCTGTGCCATCCCCATCCCACCGGGAGCTGATCCCGCTCCATCAGTGCCACCCGCCGGGTTTGTCCCCCTGATCCCAGGATTTGTCCCCCTGATCCCGGGGTTTGTCCCCCACTGATGATCCCTGGGATTGTCCCC